GTGCCAGCCATGACAGCCAGATAATCCCCCAGAGCTCTCAGGAATCCATCTGGATCCATCCATCTCTGGGAGAGGACCAGCTTAATAGGTCCTGCACACCTGCAAAAGGGAAAGGGGGCTGAAAGTTCAAAACTCAAAAGGAATGATCTTACTATGACAAGGGGGCTAAAGATCCTTAACAATCAAAGCACCATCTTCCTGCCCTGTTGAGAAAACCAGATCAAGAGTGTGTCCCTTCTTATGTGCTGGGCTGGTGACATATGAGAGAGCCCCATGGCTGTCATGAAGTCCTGGGCTGCATGGAATTTGAGGCCCCCCAAGAGCCTGGGGGTCCACACGACCAGGTCCAAGACTCTGCCAACTTGGACAGGGAGACTTCTGGGCAGTGGGGTGGCAGAATGTTAACTCTGTCTCAGTTGCCCAGTGCAAGGTGTAACCACTAAAGATCTGAATTCAAGTGGACAGGAAGCCTAGTGAGGGAGATGGAACTACTATGAACCACTGCCACCCCTGGCCCTTAAGGTGATGTTGGTGCTGAACCAAGTGCTCTTGGAAACAAAGCTGAGAAAAGATAACCCCATCCACCTCACTGCCGATGTCTTGGTAATGCATGCCAGCTTGGCACCTTCAATCACACTGAGGTCATAGATGAGCAAGTTCTTGTTAAGTACTGACTTGTCATTCAACAGCAGCACTACTTCTGCAAGGCACTGTAGTAAAATCAGCTTGGAGAACCAAAGAAACAGATTACCATGCCTTGTGCTCTGCAAATACCTTTGGAACTCTGGATTTATCCACAGATCTGTAAACATGCCTAGTTCAACCTTATACCAGAAATCTGATCCAATTTTCACATGCTATTTTTCTCTTTCTCTGAGTCAGCTATGGCCCCAGCTGCACTGAGTGCTGACTCCAGCAATGCTTGTGTGGAAGAATCTTGAGAAATGAGTGGTGACTCCATCTGCCTCTTCTCTGGGATCCATGGGGCCACATGGGAAGCAAATGACCCTAGAAAGTAACTGTTGCAGAATCCAACTACTAAGGTATGTGCAGCAACTGTTCCTGGGTTGAATATTAGCTCCACCACACAGGAAGAAGGTCAGTAAAGGTAAGTTTCAGCTCCAGTGGCTAGGAGGAATTGAATATTAACATTGCCAAAATTTCACTACAGAAGATTTATATCAGTCTCTATCTGCTGCACAAGTGTGAAACAATTTCCCCCATGACATTGTGTTTTGAGAACATATGATAAGAATTGTTAAATTATAAGTTGCAAAATGTAAGGTTTTTCCATAGGTGAATCCTTTGGGAAATATACCTGGGGGGTGCATGCAGGAAAGACAACTTAGGAGACACAGCTGAACTTGTCAGGATAATGAGTTCCTTGGCCACCATGCCCAGAGACTCTGTAGCAGTAGCACTTTTCTACAAGTCACAATAAAATCAGTTTCCTGAGTTCAGGTGACATGATAAAACCCATAGTGGTTTTTAACCTTAAAAAAGTTGTCAGTTTGTTAGTGAAAATTAACCCTATCTAGACTTGCTGGGTTTGACAGCTACAAGAATCCATTGTGGCTAGCTGCCCCACAGTGGGTTGTTATGTCATGTAACCAGGTCATTAGTTTCAACAGAGCTCACCTCTAAATAAATTTTCACTGGATTGCAGCCTAAAATTTATGCTATATTGAACACCTCTCTTCCAAAAAGAACAGAACACTGAATGTTCACTTCTCAGGAAGTTAATTGTCTTGACACTCTGTCACTGGAGGCAAGCAAATGAAAAACATGAACAAACTTGTCATTTTAGTTACCAAGAAAACACTAATAGCAATGCTGAATAGCTAATTTTTCAAGGAGTGAATATAAGGATATAAACTCTTAGGTGATAATAATAATAATAACAATCAATGCTAATATAGCAATACACCCAGTGAAATTTTATGACTGAGGTTCAACAATCCTAACCATCCTTACGTAGAGGGCTTCCTCTCACCCCATGAGAGGACCAGCTCTGATTCTGGGATATAACAGGAGAAGACAGCTGTTGCCCTCATTTCATGCTGATAAACCTCCCACAGGCAACTAATTGTTGGACTAGATAGGTAATTGGTCTGATCGAGCAGGCCCCTTCTTACATTACACTGGAACAAGCCAGTTGTTTGCTCATTTCAACAATGGCATAAATGGATATGAGTGGCCTTGGTCAAACAGTGGCCATACCAATGCAAGTTGACATGGAATCTGCCTACGCCCGAAGGCTTGCACACTCATAGCAGTCATCCACTTCTCATTTCAATATGGATCCTGTTCTTCCTAAGTTGTATTTCAATTTGCTGTTTTAGAAAGACACTCTGTCCTGAAATTGCTTCCTATTTTGCTTGAGTAGTTTAATTTTGTTTCAATCAATTCTAGATCTCTCTTCCCTTGAAAGTGTTATGCTATTGTTAAGCTATTGCCGTTTCCTCTTTCTTACTTTTTCTTCAAATATTTTCCTCTAAAAGCTAATCAAAGCTTTTTTTAGGAAGCTAGAGGCAAAGCACCATAAGGACACACATGTTTAGAGGCGATTGTGCCAGAGCTGCCCAATACTTATTATACGAAGGGTGCAAAGAAAGCATTTGCAATAAATGCCTATGATTGCACCAGAAGAATATCTAGAGATCTGGTTTGCTAATCAACAGGATATTGCAACACTAAAGAGAACTGCATGACTTCCTCTAAAAGATTAGTTGTACAATTCATCTAGATTTTGTGGTTTCAGGAGAGTCAAGACTTAATGCAAAGCAATAGTAGCTATATGATTCTAAGAAACTGTCTTTAACAAAGTTATCAGATGTTAAAATAGCTTCTGTATAGCCTGAAGTGCCTGATCCTACCTAATCTTGGAAGCTAAGCAGGTCAGGCCTAATTAGAATCTGGATAAGTGACTTGACTGTATGATTCTATGATTATTGTTGTAAACAGAGAGCTTAGGCTATGGGTGGTATAGAAATGTAAATAAGAAAAAAAGAAGGAAAGACAAAATAATACATTTTATATACTATTTTGTAATATATAAATCAACCAAATGTAACCACATACATAAAATTGAATAATATGTATAAGTATCTGCTAAGGAACTATTTCATGCAACGTCAACAAAACTTATTTTTACTTTGGTCTTCCAGAAACCACTTTCAAACTTCTGTTTCCTCTCAACTTGTCTTTCTTTGCAGAATCTTCCTAGACTTTGGAAGGTTTCTGGAAGTGTTTAACAGCCAACCTTTGCATCGTATGAATTCTAACCAAAGGCTTGCATCATATATGTCAACCGAAGTTTCAAAGGGTCGTGTTATCTGTTTTAGTAGTTGTACTATTCAAGATGAACCAGCAACTTTGCCAATGAAACACAGGTCTTTGCACAGGATTGGAAACATCTTCTGAAGTTCAGCATTTACATCCATATATGCCTGCCCGCCCCTTGAGATCTGCGGGAGAGGCCCTTCCCCAGGAACCCTCTGTGAAAGAAATTAGGAGGGTAGGTACTCAGAGGAGGGCTTTCTCTGCAGTGGCGCCCAATCTATGGAATGCGCTCCCCAGAGAGGTCCACCTGGTGCCGTCGTTATTTGTTTTTTGGTGCCAGGTGAAGACCTTTTTATTTAAACGTCATTTTAATTGTTAATATTATTTGCTTATTTTATCTGGCCAGGGTGACTTATTTTATATTGTTAATTTGTTGTATGTATTATATTTTAATTTTATGTTGTGAGTCGCCCCGAGGCTTCGGCGAATGGGGCGGCATAGAAATGTTTTAATAAATAAATAATAAATAAATAAAATAAATTTAAGTTAGGCAAATCTGATGCCAAGTTTGCATTTCTGGCTATTTCAAGGACAAAATTGTAGAAATGTTTTAACTTCCCAGTAAATGACCTGTGAAATTTACTACATCAGCTTTACTTTCTAGTCACAACAGCAAATTCCATGCAGAATCTTGTGGTTGATGAAATTATCACAAATGTGTTATTCCATAACCTTGTGTAGACTACTCTCACCTGAGGTTTATTACAGTTGTCTATAGTTCACCGAGGCCTCCATCACATTACTCCAAGGGAGCAATCCTATGTATGCTTAGCCAGGAAAAATAGTCCCACAATTCCCAACATTCACTAGTCAGCTATGGTTTCTGGACTTTTTCCTTAGGCTAAACTGACATAGGATTGTGTCTTGAGGTGCTACAAGACTCTATATTCATTTTGCTGCAGCAAAATGAATTTCCCCTTCTCCCTCAGAAGGGTGTTTTCTCGGTCCTGGTTCTTTGCCCCATGTAAACGAGGCAGGGTACCCAACAGTACAATATGATTGGAAGATCAGGAAGAGGCCTCCTGTCAAGAGTTTAAATCACTCACCGTGCATGCTTCAGAGAGCAAGCAGCTGTCTCTTTTAGATTCGGCCCACCCAAGAGGCGGGAGCAAAATATTTACTCGCAAGTGAGAAGACGGCAGTCGGGACGGAGAAGTGTGTGTGGAGGGGGGGCAAGCAGCAGAAGCTGCTGATACAGATAGGCAGGGAGAACGGGAGAGGCGGCGCAGGTTATTGGCCAAGAGCTCAACCAATGGGCAGGCGCGCCTTTTGGCGGACGGAGGGGCGGTAACAGGCAACGGGTACTGGCCAACCGCCGGCGTGCTTTGCAGTCTCACGGGCCAATGAGTCTTCGGTTTGTCCCTCTCCTTCTTTCATAGCTTCAAAGGGGGGCCAAGTAGATAGGATCTCTTCGTTCTTACAGCTTCTTCTCCCACCCTTTTGGCTCCTCCTTTCTGCCCCTTTGGGAACATTTCCCCCACTTCCCACCCTCAGGAATGGGGGACGGTGGGTGAATGAGAGGAGATCTGAAGGGCCAGGGTGGTCAAGGGGAGAGGACATTCAAATTAGTGCTCCATGTAGACATCTTATTATTATTCGAAACAACAACAACAACAAGGCTCGAAACATGGCATACGTTTCTTAACAAATAAAATTACCTCATATCTGGGCGGCGCTGACACTAAGCCTCTGTGCCTCACCCCCTCTTAGCGGTGCTGAGGGGAGAAGGGGAAGAAGAGGGCTGAGGGGGGTCCTGTGAGGAAATGGAGGGACTCTCCGAGGGCTCCGCCGAGGAAAGCGCGCTGTCTCTCTGCACCGTCAAGCACGAGCTGAGGAACGGTGAGTCGGTCAGCCTATGAAGCGGATGGCGGCAAGGATGGAGGAGGGGGCGACGGGAAGTGCGCGCGAGGCGCCTCGTGAGAGGGTGTGCGCGGGGGGGGGCGGCAGGTGAGGGGGGCCACGGGCGCGCCGCGTCTACCCGAGCGCCCCTCGGCAGGAAGGAACGGCGGCGACTGGACGGCGCGGGAGAAAGAGCGACTTCGGGGAAGGTCGGGCGCCGACGGAGGAGGGAGCATGGCGTTGTTGACGGACTGAGGAAAGGGGCGGCGACTAAGGCCCGGGAGAGGGACCCGAAGGCAAACGGATAGGCGCGGAGGAAGAGGGGCCTGGGGAGCGGCGACGGGGTGTGCGGAGCCACAGCGGAAAGGGGGCGGGGATGCGCCTATCGCTCACGGGCGAGCCCTTCAAAGGCTGGCCCGGGAAGCGGCGCCCAGAAAGCAAGACACCTGCGTCCTGCTACCTCCGCTTTTTGCGACTGACTTTTTGAAGCAGGTGCTGCTCCGAAGCTTGGGAATTTTGCTAGATTTTCCCTGTTCTCCTCCTGCCCAAATGCTGTACATTATTGCTGATCCTCCTGTGGTGCTAATTGTTGTTTGTACACCACAGCTCTTGTAAGACAGTAATGAGCACATTGCGAAGAAAATGAAATGTTTCTTCCCGCTTGCTCAGTGTTGTTAGGATGAGATGATTTCAAAAGGGAAAAAAAGCTTTGCGGACAGTGTAAGTCACTTAGTGGAGAGTACTGGACTTCATATGTGATTTGGTACTTGATTTTTCAATTATTACAACTACTGTACGTATTACAGACAGTGAGGCAGTTAATATTCCCAGTTGGCCTGCTTTGTAACTTTCGCAGTAAATCATATATGGACTTTCTAAGAAATCACTAGTTTGTGGAGTACAAAACATACGCTCCTTGAAACATGGGGAATAGGCAGATTGTTTTGATAGTGAAATCAGGAGAGGGTGGTGCAGATGTTCAGTGTAATTAAACAAAATAAGATTTTGACAATTCTTGCATCTCTGTTAAAACCAGTTATAGATAAATAGTGTGCAAACAGATTTTATTTATGTAAGCTGTAAAGCTGGAAAATATTAAATATTATGCAGTATGTGACAAACAAAATTATTTGTAAAGTTTATTTGTACATACTGAAAAGTTCTTTAGTGTTCCTGGGTGGAAATTTCATTTTGCTTGTGGACCAGGTTTAATCTTGAGTAATCTTTTTTTGCAACACATTAGAGTGATTTATATTATAATATCCTTGATAAGATTGAATCCTATTCATGCTTAGAGAAAAGCCCTACAACTCCCAGCATTCCCTGGCTGGTGCATGCTGGGAACTGTAGAACTTAATCCTGTTTAAATATGCATTGGATGGCATCCTTACTTTTACTTGGCACCCTTACTTTTAAATAAAGGGAAATATAAAACACAGATTTTCAGTGAATGACCTCTCTTCTAAATTATTTTAATCTAAAAGCAAGTACTCAAAAGGCATTAGAACTTACACCATTATGCCAAGTTTGAAATTTAAGTATAACTCTTTGATTTTTTTACATTAGACAGTCTAAAACAGTATTGGGGATACAAGTGGAAGATACTGGTGATATTTAGATATTATGCTAAAATGGTTTAGTGTGACACAAATGGCCCTATAGGCAAGGCATATGCCTGTCCTCCTCATTTATTGAAAGAAATGTACAAGCACAGTGGATCTAAAGTAGCCTTCCCCAACCTTGAGTCTTGCAGACTTATTTGGACTGCAACACCCAGTATTCCCAGTTAATGGCCCTGCTGGATGGAAATTCTGGGAACTGCAGTCCAAATTCCTTTGATGACCACCAGGTTGGGAATGGCTGATCTAAAAGATCTGTTCAGAGAATTAAAATAGGTTGTTTTCAAAAAATACTGTTTTCATGAATGGAGTTGAATCTTTTTGTCCAACCATTTGTTATAAGATACTGAAGATACTGTTCTTTTTTTTCTATCTCATAAAGAAAACCTGAAATACAGGAGAAACAAGCATTTTAAAAATAAATTCATTAAAAAGTGAGCACTTACTTAAACGGTTCAGTCAGCATGTATTCACATTAAATTAAAATGTGTAAACATTATATATCATGTTGTATATCTCATCCATCAGATGAAGGATTACATGGTGGCAAACGTGAAGTATATAATCCAGCACACAGTTAATTAGGAGAAAGCAAATTTGGGTCCATATGTACCTCCAAATTCATATGTATTTCCAGCCTCTAAATGGGTTGGAATAGTCCTTAATATGATACAGTGAAATTCTCAAACGAAGAGAGTTTGACACAGTGAACCTGCACTATCAAAGTAGAAGTATGCCTGCAGACACTCCAGAGTACAACCTTTTGACATGGAGGAGCACTACAGCTCTTTAAGGAGCGGTTTTGCTACTCCATTCCCTTGGGGAGGAACTTCCTATAGCAGTGGAGAGGTGATGGGCATATAACTGTGCCCTTTGGCCTTCTCATTCCCCATGGCTTCAAACTATGAATCATGGAAGTCTGCTTATCTAGTGGCTGAAGACATTACTGCAGACTTAAACCAGATGAACACAGTAACGTCAAAATCAATGCATTATAAAAACAATACCCTGAATTGGACACCCTAGGGTCCCCTCAGTATGTATGCAAAGTTTCAAGTATTTAGCTTTTATTTCACAATCCATTTATTCCTTTATTACATCATATATTTTGATTTTGTTGCTTGGATCCGCAAACCTCTACATAGCTTGACAATTACATAATTCTTTGGGAAAATTTTGAGACAGAAAATATAATTAAGAATGTTAATGATGGAAGCTGATATACTAGTGCATCAGTTGCAGTAGAAACTGTATGTATACATAAATTGGGTACTATCCAATTTCTTTTCTAATGTTTTTGGAATGAAAAGGTTTGGGTGATGCAAAAAGATTTAGCTACCTGTAGTCTTAAATATGACTAGTATTCTATTTTTAAGAAGCAGCTTTTCCAAACAACTCGGATAACTTATACAAAAGGTTGTATTCACTGAAGTAATTCCACCTACAGAAATGCTTCTGTCAGCAAAATAGGAGGGGGTAAATTCCCCTCCACTTTGCAGTGTGTTATACACATTCAGAGTCCAGTATGAAGGATTCAGGGACACTCTGGAGCAGATTCTGAGGTGGGTGCAGGAGACTGCAGGGGAAAGGAAGGAGAAGTCCTGTTGCATGGGTGGAAATCTGTTTACATGTTACTGGATTTTACTCTGTGTTTTGTTTGGATTAATTTGCATTCATATGTTAGTTATATGTTAAAGCATGTTAGAAGTTCACAGCATATAAACTTTAGCATGTTCATCTATGCCAAGCTAAGAATTCCCTTAAATTTCTTGCTTGGTATGTGGTGTAGTCATGTTGGATACATCATGAAATAACAGGAAGTTATTGCATGGTTTGTAGTACAATCCTATGTACATACACTCGGGACTAAGTTCCACAGAGTGACATGGGGCTTATTTCCAGGTTAGTGAATACAGGAATGTTTCCTTAAAAACAGAAGAGACCCTTTGCAGTGAGTGGATTTTGTTTCAAGGCAGGAAAAGTCTTGTAGATCAGGATCATACATGAGTAGCATTCAAAATCTTGCTCTAAGCTTCCAGATGAATTATTATAAGAAGAAACTACAGTTGGTCTTAGTTGTGCAGCAGAAGAGAATGAGGGTGTTTTTGAAAGCTAATGTGTGTACAGTTTTCAGATTGCTGTTGCAGTATTGTTTACTTTTATAAAATACAGTGGTACTTCAGCTCACGAATGCCTTAGTTCACAACCAAATCACGAACAGAAATTTCAGGAAAAAAATTGCCTCAGTTCGTAAACTCCGCATTGGGTGACGACCGTGATTGCGCCTGTCTTCCCTGAATGAGGACAACCACGATCCCACCCTCCCCCTCACCCCCACCAAGCATAATCACTATCGCACAATTATGGTTTGGACCAGGGGTCTCAAACTCAACTTACCTGGGGGCCACTGGAAGTAGAGTCTGGGTGAGGCTGGGCCGCATCAAGTATTCCACCACCGTGGTGGTGGTGGGCCGCTCATCCCGCGGCCGGCCCGGGCACCGCCGGCGCTTTGAAGGCTGCAGGGCCCCTCCCCTGTGCCCCGCCTGTCCCAGCAATGGGCCCGCGGGCTGCGAGTTTGAGACCCCTGGTTTGGACTCTCCCTCCAAGCAATAACCTTGCCCCCCACCTAGGTTAGTGTTCTCTACTGTATGGTACTTTGTTATTCTTTGTTACTTTGTTTCAAATTTTTGTGATAAATATTTAGAGAATGGATTAACCTTATTTACATTGAACCTTATGGGGAAATTTGACTTGCCTTGTGACCAATTTGGGTTGCGACCAGAGACATGGAATGGATTAAGTTCATCAGCCAAGGTACCACTGTACGTATGTGCTCACCTCTTGCAGTTCTAGTTTTTCTTTGAGGCATGTTTGATGCCTCAAACATTTTGTTTTCCTACATTATCATTAAATTGCTAGTTTTAAAAATAAAATACTCTGGTGAAGAATGCAGTATAGATATAGTAAACAAAACTAAGGTATAAGACTAACAAAACTAGGTTAGTCATTCTACTTCTTTATCAAGATATATGTTTATATGTAAGAACTATATAATTCTGTTGTTGTACCATACCTTCTTGCAGTTGTACGTCTCTTGTATGTTCATTAAACAAGTCTCATTGTTTTAAAATTATTTTACTTTAATGTAGTCACAGGAATATTTTTGAACATTATGTGTGTTTTGTTCAAACAATCCCAAGAAATTCCAAGTTTCTGAAAAAGCAAATTTAGTTTCTCTAATTTAACAGTTCCCTTTGGCATATGGTACAGAGTTTTGTTCAGTAGGAACATTTACTCTATATTTACAAATTGCAGTAAATTTAAGGGCATGTTTAAAAGAGAGCCTGATCCATAGACCTGTGCTTTGGGTGCATAGGGTGT